AAGCAGAAGAGAGGAAGCAGTGAGTTCGAAGCAGGCCCGCTTACCTTAGAAGTTACGCAGTTGCTACTTTGCCTTCCAGGCCAGAGGTTTTAATCCTCTTGATAAATTAAACGTATTGTAGTGTTCACAGTCTCTGTGCTACATACGCTTCCTGTTATTATAAGGCCAATCTTCCACGTGTATTATTCTAAAGTTAAATTAGAGTTTAGTTTTATTTTTATATCTTTTACGTTAGACCCCGAGTGGAGGGTCATTGTATTCCGAAGTACGGAGTACGGAAGTCATTGTATATAAGAAAAATAAAGGGTCTTGTATACCCTTCGTCTGTATCCTGTCTACTTACCACAATTAGTGAACATAGCTTTAGTAAGCTCTCTGTTCCGAGTCAGGTCCTTGTATGTTCCCGAAGAAGGTTAGAAGGAACATTGAACCTGATAATCTAACAGGACTTAATGTAACATAATCGCAACCATTTTATCATGCTGGAGTATATTTTTCAGGACAGTTCATAATCAAACATCATGCAAAACAAAACTCATTTAATTCTTACCTGTGCTTTGTAATTAAAACTGTACATCTTGAAATGGTATATAGTCTGTCATTTTAAGTGCATTGGAATGATATGTTTCGAAAACAGAGAAAAACCAATTCAGATTTATATTATTCCTTTGCAGATTTTGACATTATTCTTTAGCAGTCTTCATTAGACGACCAATTTCAGCGGCAATCGGATCACTATATTTCATCTTCCACTGTAATGAACGTAAGGGAGAATAATTTCTGTTTTTTAAAGCGCAACTCATAGAGTTGTCAGTATTAAAATTGCTCAAGGTGTCATAAAACGATCGGTCGTGAAATTGTGTTCTCTTCCTATGCAAACTAAAAGCTGTGAACTGCGTTGCATATTATACATATGTCTGCTGTTTTTTGTGTTAGTTTTATTTTATGATTTATTAATTGTATTTTCATTACAGATTGAGAAGTTTAAAAAATCACCAATTGAACCAGTTGAAATCCTCTGGGATAGTTCTACAACCTATCAAAACTAGTAGTTTTCTATAGTTTTGATAGAACATTGTAGTTGTGACAGACATGTTGAATGACTCACGTACTTCATATCTAGAATCTGGTTAATTAAATAAAGGTGAAGGAAATACATTTCCTGTGCTATGTGAACTATTAAGAGAACCAGCTGCAATAAAAGACTTAAAGTGACGCGTCAAATTTTTTGTTATTCTCTAGATCTTCTAATAACCGTTTCAAGAGTTTGCATCTGCATTTTTGTTTTAGTTTGAGTTTCGGTTTGAATTATAGCTGGAGCCCAAATCTAGAGATTGTTGAAATTTTTATCGAGGCTATGTTAAAGACTTTATTTTAATATCGCTGGGCTTGGGTAACGCGAAACCTTGGTTAATTAACACACGAATAATTCGATTTCTAGTGTATGTGAAGAAATGGCAAAGAACACTTACAAAAGTGACGAGAAACTTCTGACTGGAACCTTCTAAATAGAATAGCCTCTAAACTTATTTTAGATGTCACAACAATAAGCCAAAATCACCTCATTTTTACAGTGCAAGTTATTCAAAGCAACTCTGAAAGGAGATAAGAAAAAAAATGCATATGGATAGAAAAGACATGACAATAATATGGCCGAAATCCAGCATATAAATATATATATAATTCCAACATATAAAGCTTCGCTTGCGTTGAAGTGAATTTAGTTGAATTTAATTAAACTTTACTTTAAATCTTTCAATAAATTACGAGTATTTACAAAAATGCTGTAATAAAGGAAAATTAAAAAAATGTACAATGCAATTTATGAATACATGCATTGTCCTATACATATATACACACATATTATAGTCCTATATAGATTGATATTATTGTCCTTATTCTACTGCGGTTTTACATTTCATATAGAGTGGAACTTCAGATCACGGACACATTAATCCACAGAAAATTTGGTTCACAAATATATTATCTAAGCACAACACGCCTCAGATGACGGACGATGTCATTACGGGCACTAAAAACGGCAAGATTTGAATTTTAAGTCGGCAGTGTTTGAGGTGACACGTGCTCCAACATTTACACTTGTTTTTCATTTTCTTGAATCATCATTTGAATATTTTTCAGTTCTTAATTCTCATCTACAAAACATCGAAATCAACTGATTTACAGGAATATTAATTAGGCTGGGAAGACAATTTGAACAGATTGGATTATAGGCAGAGAATGTGAATGCTTTGACACTTTGGACATTTTTTGGTTAACTATGATACTGCGTTTGAGAACAAAACTATGGGCTAGAAAGTTAAAATTGAAGATATGGTGAAATTATTAGAGAACGATAAAAATGTAATTAAAAAAAACATAAAAATGGGGTCAACAAGCAGAAACAAAAGGCTATTTTAGATGAAATGTTTTCAAAAGAAAAGTAAGAAAAAAATGATTCTAGTCGTTTGATGCTCGACAATTATGCAGTCTGACAAAGTTTTCACATAACGATACCATCCATGTAGTAGTAATAACAAGCTATAGCAAGCATAAGCATATTCAATAGTAATGTCGTGTCTCACTTTAGAAGCATTTTAAAATGTAAATAACAGCAAATCACATTGGACACATATTGAATGAAACAGAGGCCCACTGAGTCTTAAGTAGATTTAAGTGTCCCTTAGACACAAATAATTAATTAATAAATAAAAAAAATAAAAATATGCTTTTTAAAGCAGTTACCTCATAATTTAGTGGGAAAATTTCGTGTTTACTGCTCCCATCTATTCTCTACCATACCATACAGTAAAATCAATTTAAGTTTTCGAGTACTTTTGTGTTTAACATTGAGCTTATCATTTTTTATACACTTAATGATTTCTATTTTTGGTTACGAACAATTCTGTTTATGGTCATTTATGTTTGCTTTTGGGGTTATAAAACTTGCATCCAACGTACTGTTGTGAAGTTTAAATAATCAATCATCTATGATCCAGGAACAAATTAATGACTTTTACATCAATTCGGTTTGGAAAAATTGCTTCGGTTTACGAATAGTTCCATTAACGAACTTCCTGCTAGGACGAAATGAATTCATAAAACGAGTTTCATTCGTAAAACGAGGTAGTAAGTTTCTTCAGAATCTACAACATATAAATTTTTTTATTAGAAACTATGTAAAGATTCTTGTAAAGATTAAAAGAGAGTTATTGTAGACAAAGAAATTCTAACAATTGTTATTAATTTGAAAGAAATTTCTTGTCTATCATATACTTTATTTGCAATACAAATGTCACTTTGTAAGCAAACTCTTTATCAAAGGAGAATAGTCTAATACCACATTCCGAAACATTATGAAACTCATGTTATAAAAATTTCTAAATGCAAAATAAACAACATTAATATCGGTAAAAATGTATCAGTAATTTCACATGTAAAGACTCTAAATAAATAGCCAAAATGATTTTTTTTCAATCATTTTCGTACTTTAAAGGCGAAATCTAAATAGAAGAAGAAATTTTGCCAACTCAGATTGCAGTCGTAAAATATTTAATTACATCTAAAAGAATAATAATATAAATAAAGATTTATAACTAAATTTAACTAATTATAACTTATAATCTTAACTTATAACCTATATCTTATATAATTTATAACTTATAAACTCTTTATTTATTATTTCCTTAGTTAAAATGATTATCAACTTTCTCGAAAGCATGTGTTTAAAAGTGAAAATATTATAGAACAAGCCTGGTTTGAGCACCATTTCCAGAACATAAATGAAAATATTATTACGCTCGATAGAGCATAGATTTTTCTAATTAACGACAATAAAGAAAGGTCTGTTTGTTATTGAAAATGAGAAAAAGATGCCTAAATAAGATGTTTTTCGTGATTATTACAAGTTACCCTTACAATGAGAAATTAAAAATAAGAAAAATAGAAGATATTGAAATGAAACTCACTTTACTATTACGATAGAAGTCAATATTTAATATTTAGAGAATTTAATCTATTACTTTATTACAGCAAATTTCATTTATTGAGACTTCACTACTATTTTCATGACATTCAAAGCCACCAATCACACTACAAAAGCTGTAGCTGCTTCCCTATTAAAAATCAAACTTTTTCAGATATCGCATGTATAGCTTTTCTACGTGTATAGCTTTTCTACGTGCTTCTTGTCAAGTCCATTTATCTCTCATTTATAGTGTATTATATGTATAGCCTGCTGAAGTGAGCTATTTGTCAGCGCATTGTTGATGCACTCTAGAAAGCAAGTGATAAGAAATGGAAAGCTGTATCCCTAGAAATTTTCAGGGGAAAAAAAAGAAAAAATCTGTCAAGGTCACAAGAAAGAGTTATAATTTTTTTTAAATGCTTATATGTACACGTCTATACATATTTATTTTAAAAAGATTTATTTAATGGTATTGAAATTATTCTAAAATTCATTTAACAAATTCTTTACCTTAAAAATTTTTTGTAAAGATTAAGCTAAAATGGAAGTAGGCTTATTTGCTTATTCCTTTAAATTTTCCTGCGATTTTCCTTTTAATTTTCCTGCGATTTTCCTTTTAATTTGTTCCATTTTATGTTTATCTTCGTATGTTGGCCACTTTGATATATTTGGTCTGGATGACAGGCAGTTATTGCTAATTAAATGCATTTAATCATGTTATTTTCATTTTTGTTTCTTTACTACTCTTTGCCAACAGAAGCTTCATGAATCCTAAAAACATTCTTTAAGTGAAAACGTTAATTTCATATTTATCTCATTTATTTACCAATATGTATCCGTACAAATTCACACAGAATAGTATATGACAGTATTGGCTTTGACACGACCGTGCACTAACGAAGCAAGGTAGGTAGGTATCTTAGAAAGAATTTGGTTTCTATAAAAGAAATATAAAAAATGTGGCAGACCTAAGTTGGCTTATCCCGAATATGTCAAAATCCTTTCTTTCGAGTATACTTGTCTTTGTTTGCAGGAGAACCCTTTCAGACAACGGATTTGCAAAGTGTTCTCGAACGACGGAAGCGGAAACTTGACATTTGATGACTTCCTTGACATGTTCTCCGTCTTTAGCGAGCAGGCGCCTCGCAATGTCAAGCAAGTTTACGCTTTTAAGATATATGGTAAACGTTAAGGATTTTTTATTCTTTTATTTTGTTTTGCCTCATGAGCCCTTTCTTGTTTCAGATTATTGCCACCTACTTTATCACAAGAAAAAAAGTTTGTTTGATGTTAATCTAGGAAGATAGATTTTTCTTAAGTTATTATTATAATTTTCTTAAAGGTTTTGATGTTGGTGAAAGATAAACTTACGAAGTAGAATTACAGATTTTATATCGAAATACCCCTATAGTATTAAAATGTTTATATGAGAGATATGAAAAAGTGATTACACAAATTTGCTGTTAAAATCTTAATACAAATAAAGGAAATCTAAGTATTCCACTTGCAACAATCCTCCTCAGTTTTTATAGGATACTTATATAACTAGAAGCTATATCTATTTGTCTTCTTATAGCCCAAATGTACACTCATGTGAAAAATTAAGAGAACTTGCTCATTATGTCGAATTTCTGGAAACCCAATGAACACATTTTAATGAAATGTGGTATGAATATACACTTATTACAGAGAAAGACAGATGTACTATAAAAATGTATTTTTATGTATGCATGATTATCACTAAAGCTTATAGTGCATTCTCCAAAATCCACTTTATGATAAGCAACTGCAAATGAGTCTAATATGGTGTATGGTCTCTTCGTATAGCCAGACAGATCGCGCAGCGTGAGGAATTACTGGATAGGAGGCAATTGAAAAGTCCCCATGGAAGTTGTTTCTATGCCCACAGCAGTGCAGGCGGCAGTTCTAAGGATGTTTTCGTCTCCCGAATGGTTTTCGGAGAAGAATGGCAAGATGAAATTGCGCCCCCAAGAGCTTTCTAAAGTTAAGGTCAGGCGATCTAGCTAACTAATGCATGTGAGGATTATTCTCTATTTCTCATGAGAGCTGTGGAGCTGTAGCAGTTCTGTATCGCCGCTCTGAAAGGGCCAAATAACGATCCTCATTCGCCATTGTGGATCTTGTATTGTACCGGTTTCCCGATATGGATCCAGTGTCCTGAAACTGTTTCCACAAATTGCAGATGAAACTGGACGTTACATTAAGATCTCTAGTCACTTGCGTTTGTGACTGACCTGCCTCCAGTCTACGACAATTCGGCGTCTCACTGCGTCATCCATACGTTGGTGGCTATTCTTTTTATCTGATACCTTATAAAACTCGTGCGAGAAACACGGTGAATATCGTAAAACAGTACGCGCGCACACATCGCCGAAAACCTGATTACCCGTTTACATCCCCTCGATAATCACAACTCCGCAAACACGCACGTGTACGCTTACGTATTTGAATATAAATATTCTAATAATTCGGCGGCATAATTAGTACCTTTGGTTCAATACTTTTCGTAAAATTAGGTGTAATTTAAAAATTCTCATAATTTTGCACAAGGGTATATATATTTAGCATAATAATTAAACAAATAATCAAAAACTGAATTCATCAGAACTTAGAAAACTTTATAATAGATTGTTGTTATGAGGGCCGTAATGCAACAGAACGCTTGATAGAAATGTAATGTTTGACATGGATTCGAAGGTAGCCGCAGACCTCGAAAAAGGAAAACTGGGCAGAGCCCTAAACTTGCGTATGCAAAATTAGGAGCAGTTCATATCTTTTTGTCTTCATAATTGACGTAAATGTTTGGTAAAATCCAGTTAAGTAAGATAGCAAGCTGACTCGTTGATACCATGTTAAGACGCCGATGAAAATAAAGTAGCGTTACATCTTGGCATACATTTTTGTCAAACTTAGATACGATAGTATCTAAACAACAACTTTGTCAAACTTAGATACAATCCACATTGAAATGCCAATCTTTACGTCATAGAAGTTCATAATTGAAATACTTTTGGCAAAGTCCAGTGAATGACGATATCAAATAAATAGCAACGAAAGAAGGATTTTTCAGCATAATATGCAGTTGACTTTCTGGTGTAACGTCGAAGAAGTAAGGTTTTGCGATAGAAGAAAAGAATATTTTCAGAACATGCTTTGCCACTCTTTCAACAGGAAGAGTGCAAGCTGCGTCATTAACAAGATTGATCTGCAGGAAATTTTCAGCAGCTTCTGATGGTGTTATCTCATAAGCTATGTCCGACAGTAAAAGAAACGCTTTCGAAAACCGCGTTTATTCCACTATTAGTTAATTGGGAGGTTAATAACCGAAAACTTTTTAATGTTCGACTGAGCTATTTCTTGTGCAAACCCGGGTCATTTTGCGAGGTGGCGAAAATATTTCTTCTGAATATATGCAATAAAAGTTTGTGCGTGAAGTTTCGTTTCACGCACAAAAGGAAGTTAAGAATATACTACTTTTCGAATGTCTTCGTGTAGTTCAGATTTGCTGGAAGCGAAGATTTCTGTAAATGTTCTTTTCGACGTGCCACTGAGAGTCACTAGTAGGTCTGATAGCTGCTTAATGTACTTATCAGACCTGTCAACATGAAAAGAAATGCAAGACTTTACCGAGGAACTCGCTTTCCTTTGCAATAAATTAACATGAGGTTTTTTAACCCCAGTTTTTGGGCAGCAGTTGGATTCAGCGTTCTGTTTCGCGTATGTAGCTGCAATATTTTACGACAATGGAAAAAAAATTGGTTCGGTAACAATCTCTAGCCATGAAAATGATGGAGAGAATGCAATCAGAGGGAACGTCTGTTTCAGTAAAAAGATCTTCCTGAGTATTTATAGGAGGAAACTTTATTCAGAACGTTTTGCAATAGATCCAATAGAGTTTAAGAAATCCAAATTGAGGGGCGAGGAAAGGAGTGCAGTTTGCGTCATTAACGAGTTGTTTTGCAGGTAAATACTGATAACTTTTAAGGAATTCACACTGCAGTGCACATTTCAGTATTCAAAGCTGCTGGAATTTTCATCAGAGCGACATTGTTTAATGACGCAACATGACTAGTATAAAAGTCTACACGGAACTCCGTTTTTTTTTTCAACTCATTTCTGCAATTTCCACATAAGCACCACACTCTACCACGTTTATTGTCGTATAAAAATGATTCGATAACATTTGATTAAATTCCAATGGAACTGCAATCAAGAATAAAATTTTTATTTATTTATTTCTGCTAAAGCGTTTGTTATCGTTATGAATATAATTTTTTATTGCAAACTTAAGTGAAAACGTATGTGTATTGACGAAAGTATTATGGACAAGAAAACTTGCATATATTTTTAATAGATATAATGCATATAAAATAAATTCCATCTATTAAAAATAATTAACACTATATAAATTCCATCTATTAAAAATATATGCAATAATGCATATATTTTTAATAGATGGAATTTGATTCTCTTGGCTTTACACTTTAATCTGTACACATGTGCTAAGAACTTGTTATAATTAATCGTTGTGAATTCATATATACTATACCAAAATTATAATTCTTTTACCAGTGATACAGTACGAAGTTAATTACTTAAATACCCAAATTTCTTAGTGATTAGCTTAAAGAGCAGTGATTTTCTTTATTTACATTACATTCGCATGTACAGAAACTAAATCAGATGATTCTGCCAGAAAAATAATCAAGCTGAAATATATACTACAGGTAATGTGTTGAAATTAGAAAAATACGCATTTAAATTTCACAAGAAAAAAAAGCATAATTTTTTCGTATCTTTTGAATATTATATTAATCAAGAATGAAATCTGAATCGGTTTTATTTTGAAATTTAACTGAAAAACAGTCGAAATGTTTAAGAACCAAAGCAGCAAAGAAAACAAAAGTATTACGGAAATATTAACATTATCTTAATATGTGTATTAGTAACTTTCTTGAAAATAAAATTTTTCTTTGAATAACACGAATGATTTCTAAATAAAAGTTTCGTTTCCAGACTATGATGGAGATCAATTCGTCGGGCCCAAAGATTTGGAGCAAGCAGTTACAGCTCTCACTAGAGCACAGTTAAATGATGAGGAAGTCTCTATTGTTGTTGAGAAAGTTCTTGACGAAGGAGATTTAGATGATGATGGGAAACTTTCATTTGTCGAGTTTGAAGCTATCATTTCTAAAGCTCCCGATTTCTTAGGGTAAAATATTATAATTAATTTTAGTTCTTCAAATATACTTCCTTGGTACATGAGCAGATAGAAAGTTGGGTTTCTGCTGCACGCGGTGTGCAGTGTGGTCAGTGACGTTTGCGGAACGGAGGCCACGTCATGCATGCTATCACCGGAAGGGCAAAGATTGTAGAGTGGAGGCGCAGGAGATAAGGAGGTTTCAGGATTCGTTCTTTAACTGATAATATGACGTCATACTTTGATAAGAGATTATCTTTTATTGATTTACATCAGGTTCTTTGCTAATCAGTTTTCAGCCTTTATATTTAGATCTCAATTTTTTTTATGTTCCCATATATTTTAAGACCTTTAATTCCCTGTATACTCAGAATTTTACCTTGTTTCCTAAATCTTCTGTTCATAATACTACATTTACTTTCCGTAATCTTAATTGCATTACTCATTTTTAGTTTTAAATTGATTTCACACAGAATCTTTTTCATGCCTTTTAACAAATACTTTTAATTTACTTGTTATATTTTACGAGTGTAATTACTAAAACACGTGTTTTTGTGTATTATATGATTCAATATTGCATATAATTTTTAACTGTTTTCGCTCTTTTTAACGTTAGTGATCTTCAACATATTCCATATTTTAACTATATTTTATTCATTATTATTTCATGTATTTTCTGATCATACGCATGAACTTTGCTCAAGTTTAGGTGTAACATTTTTAGCTTGTTTTGTACATTTTAACCTTCATAATATTCAATATACCCTAATTTTTTAACTAATTTATATTTTCACACTATATACATGACTTTTATTTGATTACTTTGACACGCTTTAACCTTCATAATTTCTAATGTACTCTTAATTTTAACATAATTCCTATATTTTCAGATGATATACCTGAATTTTATTTAGATGTAAATTTTACCTTCATATCCAGTTTTTAACGTTTTCCGTTTCCAACATACTCTGAAGGTTACCTAATATATTATATTTTCACACTATGTACATGATTTTCATTTAATTTGTAGCTACTTTCATACTTTTTAACCTTCGCAATTCCAAACATACTTTTAATTCTAGCTTAATTCCTACATTTTGTAAACATATATATGAACTTTATTTAATTTTAGATGGCATTTTAACTTGTTTTGTTCATTTTAAGCCTTCGTAATTTTTCTGTAAATATAGGTATATTGGTAATGATATATGTATCTAAAGGTATGGTAGTGTTTCACAAGATTTAATTAATGAAATAATTAATGAATAAATTAATGAAAACTGACATTTACGAAAGAATATCCTATTCTAAGAAATTGAAAAAATAGTAAATATATGGATTTGTCTACTGAATTAAGTTAGTACTGAACTAAGTTGGAAAAACGTGTTAACATTATGCGCTAAAAATTTACCCGTATGAAAAAAACAAAACTTCAAGAAGCGAAAAGGTAACCAATGGGTAGAATAATTGAATGCTGGATAATTCATTTCCGGTTCGATACAGGATATTTTTATCTTAGGAATTTCTTTTATACATGTAACGTAAGGAATCGTTAATTTCATATGAAGTTGTCCATTAAGGCAGAAATATCCATAATTAGTGCAGAAAAAAGGTAATAAAGTAAAACTTTGCATAGTTGGGGCATTTAAGGCTTAAAATTCATGGTATGGAATGTAGTCAATTAGCAAAGGATGCTGAATTCAAAGGTAATAAGCGTTCAACATAATAAGAAAGATTTTTGTATGAGTACATGAAACAGTGAATATGGTTCTAAAATTATAGATGACAGTTTGACATTTCATTTTAAAAATTCGGAATCTATCAAACTAGCTTAATGAGAATCGAGATTCAAAACTGAACATTGGTAACGTTGAAGAGCTAAAATGCATCCATTCATATATAAATTATGTAAAATTATAAGGGAATACCAGGATATGCAGGAAAATATTAAAGTCTAAAAATTCAAATGAAATTAATTATGAGATAAAATAGCAGCATTATACATGGTACGACTACTACAGAATGATAAATTGTAGAATTGGCAAATTAGAATATCACTATGAAATATAGACTAAGTAAGGGTTATTCAACTAACTGGATATGAATAATACATATAGGTTATAAAATGAAGTGTTTAATTGAAAACTATCTGTACGTTTAAGAAATTTAAGCATGTAAATTTAGCTGAAATGGTAAAATAAGTAAACTCAAAAGCGTGATTACAATCAAAAATTGTAAAAAAAAAAAGAGTTAAAATTTAGAGTTCGTTGAAAACATCTAAAATTAAATACCGTTGACGTGCATTGTGGAAAAATGTAATTACGAAGGTTTAAAATGAATGAAACACGTTAAAATACCATCTAAAATAAAGTTCATATATGTGGTTAGAAAATGTAGGAATTAAGCTAAAATTAAAAATATGTTTGAAATTACGAAGGTTAAAAAGTATGAAAGTAGCTATAGCTATAAATTAAATAAAAATCATTATAGTATGAAAATATAATATATTAGGTAAACTTCAGAGTATGTTGGAAACTGATGTTAAAAAATGGATATGAAGGTAAAATTTACATCTAAATAAAAGTCAGGTATATGATCTAAAAATATAGGAATTATGTTAAAATTTAGACTATATTAGAAATTATGAGGGTTAAAACGTGTTAGAGGAATCAAATGAAAGTCATGTATATAGTGTGAAAATATAAATTAGTTAAAAAATTAGGGTACATTGAATATTATGAAGGTTAAAATGTACAAAAGCTAAAAATGTAACACCTAAATTTAAGTAAAGGTCATTTGTATGTGGAATATATTGAAGATATATTGAATCATATAATACACAAAAACGCGTGTTTAGTAATTACACTCGTAAAATGTAACAAGTAAGTTAAGAGTATTGGTTAAAAGGCATGAAAAGTATTCTGGGTAAAATGAATTTAAAACTAAAAATTAGTAATGCAATTAAGATTACGGAAAGTAAATGTGGTATTATACAAAGTTTAAGAAAAAGTAAATCCTGAGTATCAGGAATTAAAAGTCTGAAATTATGGGAACATAAAAAAAAAAAAAAAAATAATCTAATATAAAGTAAACACTGATTAGCAACGAACTGAATAAATCATAAAAATAATCTCTTCAAGTTGATGTCTATTATCAGTTAAGAAAAGAATCTGAAACCATCCTTCTTATCTCTGCGCTCCTTTCGGTGATAGCACATGCGTACCTCGTTACGGAACTCAGTGGCCACACCGCGTTTAGCAGAACCCCCACTTTCTAGCACTTAGATGTATTGAAAGTAAAGCACAAATATATATCTTATATTATATATATATATATGTAGAATTTGACTTAATTCACAGCATGAGAGCACGAAGTAATATTTAAATGGTTTATTTAATAAAGAAATAAAAGTAATAAGAAAAGTATATAAAGATGAAGTTAACGGTATGCAGGATTAACATAATGATGTAAGGCATAACATCGAAGCACAATAAACTCTTGAAGACGTGTGAGCCGTCTGCTCACGTCTGCCCTCCACTCTCGACCAGGTCTCAGCGCTGTCTGGGATGATTCTTACTGCGCTGGGTGATGCTATACTGATGACGTCATAATCCTGGTAATTCTAATTCAGCATTGGACGTTGATGACTCCCACAGCTTCGGCCAGCCTGAAGAGGCATCGTCCTCGATGTCTGTTGAATGGACATCACTATCATGTACCTGCAAAGATAATAAAAAAAAAGAAAAAGAAAAAGAGAGTATCAGGTCCTTAGGTTTTGAGCTGATACAAACATTAAATCAATTTGACCATGGCTTCATATGGTCAGCCGCAGTAGATGTCAAATTTGGTCCTTCATGGCATCCTACTTTCTCGACTTCATATCTGTCATTTGATCGAACAGCTATGATTTTATACGGTCCATGAAACTTAGGTCGTAGTTTTCAAACCAGTCCCATATTGAGTTCTCTGAATGGCTACCAAGTCGCCAATCTTGTATAGTTTCGGTTTCTTACGTTTCTTGTTAAAATTGTTTTCGATTCTCTTCTTGAATCTTCTCAAAATGTTGTTTTTTCGCATCTTCTCTCATTTCATCACGTTCTTGCATCAATTGCTTTAGATATTCTTCATTCAATATCTCACTAATTCTCAAATCTTCTTTATTCTTCATTTTCGTGCCTATGAGAAGCTCAAACGGTGAATATTTTGTACTTCTCGTAGTTGTACTGTTGATTATTCTCTGAACATCTGGAACATACTTAAAACCATTTCGTTGAATCTTCATGTGATAATTTTGACAAAACAGGAATCAAAATTCTATGAATTCGCTCAATTTGTCCGTTACCTCTTGGAATACCGGTAGTAATTTTGACATGTTCTATTCCTTCTTCAGTACAATAAGCTGAAAAATTCTTTCGATGTAAAGGCACTACCTCGATCTGAAATGATTCTGGCTGGATTTCCAAATACAGTCTGTTGTTGCTTCAATTTTGAAATAACTTCTTGCGTAGTTGGTGATTTCACTGGATAGAACCAAGTAAATTTCGTAAAAGCGTCGACAACAGTTAGAATGTGTTGGTATCTCTTGTTCGTCGATGGAAGAGGTCCAATAAAGTCGATATGATACGTACTCAAGGGAACGTTTTCTTTCGGTACAGGATGAAGAAATCCTTCTGCTTTTCCTTGCTTCTTGTTGTACAGTATACATTCTATACAGTTAGCAATTACTTTTTCAACTTTGCATTTCAGTCTGGGAATATAGAATTCTTGCTCTACAGCATTCACAGTTTTTATCTACAGCAAAGTGACCTTTTTTATGTACCTTCTGTATGATTTCATTCTTCTGTAAGGATTCTGGCACTACTAGAAGATCTTTACCATTTTCAAATTTGTACAAAATATCATTTCATTTCTCACGAAGAATCCATTTTCTTCTCCCTTCTCAACTAAATTCTTGATTAATTTCACATGTTCATCTTCATTCTGTTGTTGTGCTAACCGAATCTTCTCAGTTA